GCTCTCTAGAGCATTAAGTCACCTGATGTTTAGCAGACTAAAGTCTATATTCCAAATAGTAGGCACTTAATTCTCAGAAATGACTGTGACGTTTTTGCCTTAATCTGTATCTTGCAGTGTCGTACGGAAATTATACTGAACAGGTTATAAAAAATTAATTTCATGTGTATTGCTAGTAAATAAAAACTATATGTACAAATAATAATTGAAATATATCAAGAATATGAAAAATATACAGTGTGTCCACAGATGTGGTTGCTAAAAGGAGAAACATCTTTATAACTGATTTTATGACAAAAAATCATTCTCATTGAAAATGTACACCTTATAGAAATAAGAATGACATACTAAATATCTGAGATCAGATGTACAGAGTGTTAATAAAGTTTTTGCTCCGTCGCGGGGCAAAAACGACAACTTAAATTGTGCGTGAATATTTCTTTCTGAAAATAACATTCGATCTGTCCAAGCAATTTTCTTTCCAAACGCTATAATGTGTAACGTGAATCTGGATGTGTTGTAGGAATTCACCATATTGTATTCGATGAGAGAAGTTGAAAAATTGTTAGGAATTACAGTCAATTTTTCACAAATGGGTCTGATGTTGCAATATTTTGTTCCACCGGCGCATGGCGTCGGTCATACGGAGAGACTAATCAGCGGTACAGAAGACCCAATTGTTTTATTTCCCAATAATTACAAGACTACCCTTACATCATAATATATCAAATAAAACTTAAAACCAACAAGTCTAGCTCCTTCAGAATAGAGACAGACATGAAATAGGAAAAAAACAACATTCATACATGACATAAACTCACTCTTCTATTAATATGCCCAATCCATGTATCCCAATTGAACATCATTATTACCGCACATCCTTGGAGATATATACAAGAACACAGTTCCGTTTCCTGCCATGACTGGGGAGACCATAACCCCTCCCCATAGTTAACGTGCACTTTCTACGCCTGTAAGTATCCTTCCCTTTCTTTCCTCATCACGTTGTCCGCCCAATCATTCACGAATCATATCCATTTATCCTTTTTCCCATTTACATTGCCGTTTCAGGATCCCCATAGTCATAGCTAGGGGCAGGGAACCTCCAGACCCAGAATGAATCTTGCCTGGTAACCCGGAAAGTTTACATGTCCCGTGAGCAGTTGGATAGCCTTCCGTGACAGATCCGATAATTCATATCCGACTGTTCTACAAAATCTGGTGATCCAGTCTACCATTCTCTTTTCCATTCTCTCCTGATATTCTCTTTTATCCTTTTTCTCCATTCATACATCTATCAGTCACGTGCTTTGCCGTTTCAGGATCCCCATAGTCATAGCTAGGGGCAGGGAACCTCCAGACCCAGGTCGAATCTTGCCTGGTAACCCGGAAAGTTTACATGTCCCGTGAGCAGTTGGATAGCCTTCCGCGACAGATCCGATAATTCATATCCGACTCTTCTACAAAATCTGGTGATCCAGTCTACCATTCTCTTTGCCATTCTCTCCTGATACCCTTTTACCCTTTTTCTCTCTTCTATCTTATTATGCGCTTTTCTCACGTTACATATGACCTCGGCTTCGTCCATACCATTGGAAGCTTCCTCGTGAGCCTTCGCGTTTCCTACGTTACTACCATCATGGCCCCTCTTTCATATGATCTGGGTACGTACTTCCCTAGCACTCCTCTCCTCGATCATCCGCTGAATCATTGCTGCCCTTTTGCTCCTCACTCTCCCTGTTTTTACTGTTTTTACAGCTATAGTAGAGTCACTGATCACTTTCACGCTCTCATCCATGCTTCACGTGCTGATCACTCGCTCGATCGCAATCCACTCTGCCTCGTTCACGCTGCTTTGTCTGGTGATCCTCTCATTCCCTGTGGTCTATTCAGCCTCTCCTCTTTTATATGCCCAGCCTATCCCTCCTTCTATCTACTCCTTTCACTCTGTCCTCAGTCTTTCTTGTCCCATTCACTCTCCATTCTTGATATCTGGCCCATCCTTCTATCTGTAATAGCACCATTACAGTGATGACACTGAGCGAAGCCTTTGGTGTCGTCCTTTATGCCCCACAAGGGGCCAACAGGTAGGGCCTCTGTGCTGCACTCAGATGTCTCTTCACCCTACTATCATGCACGCTATTCCCTCACACCTGTACTCCATATAAAGCCGCAGGTTTGGCTACCCTTTCATATATCACTCTCACACATTCTCTCTTCAGTCCAATGTTCCTCCCGGTCCACCTCCTCATTTTTCCTGCCAGTTCACTCAGCTTTTTCCTCACTTCCTTGTGGTGGTCTATAAACAGTAGTCCTGACTCCACCAGGCAGGGGGTAGTGGGGGCCATGGCCTTAGGCGGCATACGAAAGGGGCGACAGGAAGCGCCAATTAATTTGGAAAATGTAAAAAAATAATTAGGTATTCAAAATTGCGCGTGCAGTGTTCTGTACATGCCAAGCGAAAGGGTAAGTTAGCGTGCAAAAGAGAGGCGGTGAACGAGGTGGAGTCGAATGCAGCGGAAATTGCAACTACCGCACCATGTTCATCTTAAGATTGACAAATTTAGCTATTCTTGCTATAGAAAACGATATAAATGTTGATATAGATAGTTGTGTAAAGGACTTTGCGTTCAAAATAGCATGTGAAGTAAATTTGTAATTAAATTTTTATGCAAAGAAATATTTTAGTTCAGTGGTTGAAGTATAATACCAAAATATTAGGCCCTAAATTCTCATAAATTACTGACGTTTTTGCCTAAATCTGTCTCTTGCAGTTGTGTACGGAAATTATAATAAACAGATGAGGAAAAATGATGATAAAATATATTGAATCACAACTTTGACAACAGTGTTTTCGTTAAATGCAATAATATTTCAGAAAAAAATCAATGCCTACTATTATGGAATTGTACTATAATACAGGTCTTATGAAAATAGATTGGCATTTACCTACTGATCTCTTTCACATTGATGTTAAGTGTACCTTGCAGACTGCATGGTATGATCTATTATTGGGAAAAACATTGATCTCTCCTGAAATGAAAATGTAGCGCTTTCAATCCAAACAAGATTCCTATGACTGGGATTCAATCAAATAAGCAAAGAATGTCATTACGTACTTACTATCATCGATGACATGATGAGATTGAACTCATCCGTGACACAAAGTCGAAATTTTTTCAGAATGTAAACTAATGACACGGAATATGCAGCAAAATAGGCACCCGCCGAGACCTACCTTTTACAAAAAAAAAAGTTCTTCAATTAGATCATTGTAACAGTTGTATTCACACCGAGTTGACAACATAACAAAAATGGCGTCTGTTAAATTGAATATAAAAAACCAATACACTTGGCAACTCCGCTCTAGACACGCCTGTTTGTTGACCACTAAGGTCAACGACACGCGGCCAATTTAAATTCTTGCTTTTTGGATTAATTGTTCTTTTTTCTGCAAATATAAAGAGATCTTGACTGATTAGACTTGATAAGTATAAGGTTTGTTCTGGTTCTACGAAATTCAGGTTCTAGGACGTCAGGATCATGCGCAGTTGATATACAGCGTTCTGGTTTATTGAGGATAATTTCGGACTGATGAATCCTCTGTTCTGATGTTGACTGCGAAATTATCCTAAACTGTTTTGAACCGTCCCGAATCGTTCTTGCTCTCGAGGCCGAACTGTTCAGAACTGTTCCCGTTGCTCATGCCCATTCATGTGGAAATTTCTTTGGGCTATTTGCTAGGATGTTTTTTTATTTATTCAATTTGAATAATTATTGATGATTGAGGGTAGATAACATTTGAACTGACTATAGGGATACGCTACATAACAAAATGAACATGATTAATAGTATTTTCTCGTCTTCATCTCTTCATATATACGACAGGTGGCACAGTGGTCTACTCAAAAGCGTTCTGGTTTAAACAAGTGTCCGAGACTATTTAGGACTGTTTGAGATTTTTTGTTTGTACGCACCATGTCTTGCGCAGTTCCCAAACGTTTTGGGATGTTAGAACCAGAACAAACCTATAATATACTCTTAACTCGATCAGTCTATAAGCAAACCAGTATCATTTTCCATAGCATGAAACAAGCCCATTCATGGCTTTTGTATGTGTATAAGCAAGCACAGGATCTCCTGACTGACTGTCGGTCGGTTCCTGTAAAGAAGTCCGCGTGGTTGAGGTTCACTTTGGCAACCAAGTGTCTATCTTTCACACCTGGTTGCGTTGCACTAAGGAGGGTTTTGGAAAATTCAGCGGTTTTAACACCGCTGAATCTAATATATAAAAATGGATGTTTGTTCGTTGGTAAGTGATAAACTTCTACATCGCTCAACCGATCGTGAAGAAACTTGACATGTGAAAGTAATTTTTCATAGAGAAGGTTTTTAGGCTATCAATTTTTCTGTAACTCGCTACTAGATGGCACTGTAGAATAAATTTTTTGAAAGCACTGTTCTATAACGCAGCGCACGCCTGATTCTATCAAAACATTGGAACAGCAGCGATACAGCAAGATAGTACTAATTAGTACTACAACAACCAAATTCTGCACGGGCGAAACCGCGGGCAACAACTAGTTCAATATAAAAGTTGAGGTTGAAGGTTTCTATTTCAAAGAATCAGAAGAAGTGATTTCTAGATTGTGATTATACCAGGTTGTTGATGAATATGCTATACTTCCCAATATTCTCACAGTAAAATCGATTTGACTTTGAAGAATTACAAAATTTTAAGTTCACTTTACACAAAGTTCCAAAAGTAACTGATCACTTCTTTATTACTTTAGATCTTAAGAAAATTTCAACTATTCATGCAAAACTGAAAATAATAGGAATCTCATAACAACTTGATGTAGGTAGTTCCATGAAAAGTATTCAGTAAATATTATAAAATATAATCTCTCTAAAGTGATGTGGTCAAAAGTAATGTGGTTCAAAAGTAATTGCTAAAAATATCAATTTGGATTTCTCAGTGAGAATAGATTTCATTTTTAAATAGTGGTTGACAGTGTGCGTCGAATGGAGCTCCAGCTATAATTCTGATGGCTTTTTTCTGCATGAGGAAAGTTGTGATCGCGTAAGTAGATCTACCCCAAAGGAGAATGCCATATGAAAAGTGACAGCAAAAAAGGGAATGATACGAAATGAGAACTGCTTTATGGCTCAATGCTATTTTCAACTGGCGAAGTAGAAACAACTCTGTCGAGAGTTTTTTACAGAGATGGTCAATATGTTATTCCTATCGAAGCGACTCATCTATAAGCATATCTAACAATTTAACTTGAGCTTTGATCGTTATCCTGGTATCAGAAGATATAGTTATTTTCTGAGTTTTTTTTCCTGTTTCAGTTTGTTGGATGTAAACCAGTATTCTGCTTTGTCTTCGGTTTCTTTGGTATTTACAAGTAAATTTGAGATATTTGAATTTGATTTTAACATTATGGTGTCGTCGGCAAAACAGATTACTGTACTGGGTAAAAGGTAATAGAGTATGTCATTTATATAGATTATAAAAAGGGATGGACCCAAGATGAATCCCTTAGGTATTCCATTATTCATAGACCTTTCATCTAATAAATTACTATTCACATATAATGCCTGCTTTCTAGATGAGAGACTGGAAGAATTTCAAGGCTGATCCTCTGATACCATAAAATTCAAGTTTCTCTAGTTATAAATGATGGTTTACACAGTCAAAAGCTTTGCTCAGATCTAAAAAGTGCATGTTAGAACTGCGCTTTGAAGATTGGAAAAAACGCCAGCACAAGTGTATTATATCTGAAGGGGACTACTTTGAGAGGGACAAAGTAGAAATTGATGAAGAAATCATTAATTTTTGAAAAAAATGAAAAATCACCTTATTTTTTGAACAGACAGCGTATATTTTCAATCACTGAGAAATAGTGACTGCAAAAATATTTCAACTGAATATTTACGAGCCTTTATGAGAACATTCTTTATGTGAAAAAACTCAGTGTAGTTTGAGCTGTGTAAAATCTTGTTCATTCACCTATTGAACAGAAATTATATTATCAACACCTCCACTAATCGTATTGACATTTTCGCTCCTCTCATTTGCCGACCTGTCTCTCAATTCTTGAATTTTTAGTGCCTTCTTAGAATTCTCTACAAATTCCATCAAACCTCTCGACATGAAATATGGTTGGGAGATTCCATCGTTCATTTCGCAGTCTTCACAGAAACAAATAAAGATAGTATCTATGGCCATCTGAAACAAATCATTTTTGATACGACAATTCGCAATGGTTTTTGAATAAAGTTTTGATTTTTCGTATGTTCATGTCCAATTTCACAATCATATACAGGGTATTCCATATTCGATGGTCTATTAGACGTATCTAGAGAACAAAAAAACGGTTAGAGATAGGTATAGGACATAGTTGATCAAAATTGTTAACATTGGTTGGCTGAATTCGAAAATTAAATAATATACAGAGTGTTCCATTTGAAAAAAAATACTTATGGTTGTTTTTCAAAGATACAAATTGAGTCATATTTTTCAGACACTCTGTATAAAATAAGATTTGAGTTTCGTTCTGAAATAATGACCACCATATCTTATCTCAATGTTGCCAGAATTTGAGTTCGAAGTATCAGTTAATTCATGCGATATCAAATATTAAAAAACCATGTTTTTGACGAAAAAATTACAAAATGATTATTATTTTAAAAACGGTGAGAGATAAGTATAGAACATGGTTCACAAAAGTAACTTGGATTTCGATGCAAAATTCAAAAATGATATAATATATATAGTGTTCCATTTGAAATTTCCGAATTGATGTCTGTTACATGTAGATGTGGCAACAACGCTGAAATGAAAATATTTTCAAACGATAGGTCACAGCCATCTATATCGATGACCAAAATTTGACACTCTCATCTTTTTTTGTTCCCTAACTACGTCTAATAGACCATCGAATATGGAATACCCTGTATATATCTGCACACAAAATAACTGATCTGTTATACTCTTTTTTTATGTCCACAGTATGTGATAGCCATATGTAATGATTTCAAAAATAAACAAATGGAGTAGTGTTCAAAAAACGATCGGACACAACGACTACGCATTTTTGTCCATAAGAAAATTATATACAGGGTCTGTCATGAATCAGTGGGCAATAACGATTTTCTCTTTTTCAAACAACACAATGGTAAATCAGCCTTCCTCTGGTAGCAGGGGAGCCCACGATGCAAAATGGGGATTTACTCGAGCGCCATTGATACATATTAGGTTGCAAAGCTTAGATGATAAGAAGAAAAAAATGTTATATAATATATACCTTTTTATCAGTGGGGGAAGCGGCTTTAGATTTTTAAATATGTAAAAAAATACTGTTGCATAGACATAATTGAGCGCGTCAGATATTGATAGCATCAATGTCCTACGTATTTTTAATAATGTTGGTATGTTATTCAGATCGTTTGCATGATGTGGGTGGTTCGATCTGACGCAAATTCGCGGCCATTATTATAATGTGCAAAAAAAATTCGCCATTTTTAAATACTTAAGCGCGTCAGGTTAAGATATCCTTATGTCATGTCAAGATGTCCTTATGTCATCCTTATGTTTTTGACGTGCTGTCTCATAATCTGACGATTATCTAGAGCTAGAGGGATATAGACAATATTTTTTATTTTTTTTTTGATTCATTGAACACAATTAATTGAAAAGCTCAGGAAATAGCATGCAAATAAATAAATGTACGTTTTTTAAGTAGATTACTTGTATTCATGAGAAAATAATTTTAAAAAAATGTTCNACAATTTTCTGAACAATTGCAGATATAACATTTAAAAAATCATTTTCATGTACCTTCTGATCATAAAAAACGGATCGATAGTGATATTAAAAAATAAGTTTCAATAATCAATGAATCTTCTTGATTTCATACCTGAGTAAATTGTTGACAATAATTTGAAAAATAATAATTTTTTCATTCTCCAATAGGAATATATTCTGAGATTTTTCAGAAATAGCTCAAAAAAAATTAAAAATCTCAGATTTGTTATTTACCAATTATCGCACTTGAAATGTTCCTGTTTGAGTAGGAAAAAAGTGTTGATTAACTAATACATAATTAACTGGAAAGTCACGATAAAGATTGTTTGACCACGGAGTATTTATAATAATTTTTTTATTCTCCAATAGGAATATATTCTGAGATTTTTCAGAAATAGCTCAAAAAAAATTAAAAATCTCAGATTTGTTATTTACCAATTATCGCACTTGAAATGTTCCTGTTTGAGTAGGAAAAAAGTGTTGATTAACTAATACATAATTAACTGGAAAGTCACGATAAAGATTGTTTGACCACGGAGTATTTATTGTTCATTCATTTATCCAGTAGGTGCCTGAATTTTTCCAATTCTACTGAACTGAAAACTTCAAAGCCTCAACGCTTCTTCCTGTGGCTAGGTATCTCAGAGTTGAAGCCAATCTTTCATCAACTGGTTAACTGTTCCGTTTAACCGAACTTTTTCTTGTCAGAATTGGCTGGACCAATAATTTGTTAAAAGCGTCTTCGTTCATACGAAAATAAATTTATAATCACTCACTTCCTTAGTATCGTTTATTTCCTTCAGTAACACTAAATGTGAACAATTTTCGCATTTTTCAACCATTTCCTCATTCAGTAACGACGTTTAATAAAACGGTTCGTAGTCAATGTAATAATTTTAATTGTTCACTATTTATGCTATTACTTAACGACCAGACTACATAGAATACGTTACCATCAATTCGTCTCATTTAATTTCCCAGCTTTAAAAATGGTTGCTACTCGTGTTTCCACAAAGTTGGGTGGTTTCCAGATCAGTGTTAATTTGAATTTGATGAAAATAATTTTCAACGAACCCATAGTGCTCTCCGGCCAAAAGATGCCGTTCGCAAATAGATGTGCAAAAGATTATTGGATTGTCAATAAGTTGCTGCTGCAATATAATTGGTTTATATTATTGTATTCACACTAACCTCATACACAGTCATGAAACAGTGCGCTACAAAATAGGCAAACAGTCCAGATAGCGCTATAGGAACCCACATGTGCTGTAGTCCATCCTTGAACTAAAAATTGGAATTTGTAAGGAGAAAAATACTTGACATTTTGTGAAAATGAAAAATTAATATACAACAAAACTTCTGCACATAGCTCTATCTTATTTAACTATTATACAATAGTGTGTAAGAGTCAAATGGAAAAATTCATTATTTCGGTTACAGTACATATTTTAACAAAATCCCGAAAATCGTCAAATTTAAATTATAATTGAAAAAATCTCCAATTTTATTAAAACAACGATAAAAACAACAATAAAAATTAATTGGCGCTCCGGGGCGACTTCATTGATTCCAGTGGCGCATTTGCATTTTCAGCTGCAGGAAAACCCGGAAAAACCTGCAATACCACATCATCTGAAGATCGTGATCTAACAATGTCCTCTCTCTTATAAAACAAAAAGTAGGGTGTCTCCNTTGAATGACTTAAAAAACGAATAACGCTTGCGATTAGGTCGGTCACGCCTGATATGTTGAATAATGTTACAAGACGGTTTCATTTGAGATTAGGCTATTGCCAAGACGTTCGCGGTGGAAATTTTGAACATCTACGTCGTTAACATCCATAGTTATTATTCGTATTCTACATTTCATAACGTTTTGCAATTCATTTTAGTTTTTGAGTGTATTTTATCGAATTTCGGTAACCACATGATTATTAATTGTTGCAATAAACTTGAAAGCGATAACATTTTTGAATAAAGAATGAAGATACCTTTCAAACGATATATCACAAGCCTAAACTTCCCATTTGAAGAATTGGGGGTTGTGCCTGTCATTCGAAGGGGGTTGAAGGTAGGGGTGGCATTTTCACGTTGAAGAATGTCAAATTATAATTGACATTTGAAGTGTTTCGGGATTTTGAAAAAATATGTACAGTAAGCGAAATAATGAATTTATTCCATTTGGCTTTTACACACTGTATAGGGTATTTCAGTAAGTTCATACAATATCAATGGTGAGTGGGTATTGACAAAAAAGTCAGTAAATACTACGTACCTGTAATATATGCATTCCAACTATGACTGTAGCTATTACAACTAGAACTTTTCCCAGAAATAAAACAAAATCACCAACTGAATTAATGGCTGCAACTCTCAAAACATTCGAAGAAAGCAGCTTGAATGCTTGTTTTCCTGCTTCACAGAATGAATATCCGTGCATTGCTGAAAAACATATACAGTATGAACCACTTAAAAACATATTTTCAGGATTTTTGGAAACTTGGGATATGCCATAAGCTAATGAAAGTTGTAATTTACCCTGCTATAATATTAGTCTCTAATCTCCAACAAAAATTCATCATAATTAAATGAAAACTCATAATTATTTTTTGCAGAAACGCATATAACCCAACAATTTGATGCCAAAGAATTTTATATCATGGAATATGAATCAGAGTGATAGTGTATCAATATTAGTCAAAGAAGAAATCGAATACAAATTTCATGGGTCTTGATATCGGTAGATATTAATAAAATGATTCAGAAATTCCCACATATAGTCAATGGGCATACTTGAAGACTGGCTATAAATCAAATCATCTAAAGGAACAATTCGTTCAGGCCAGTCTTAACTCCCTACATTGTACGTTGATGGACTGACACCTATTAGAAAACAACTACTCTTCTGGCTGATACCACGAAGGGCGTTGGATTACGATGTCAAACCTGTTATTTGTTGTCTGTTTCAGCCTAGTTCAGCCTATTCTGAAGGAATTCGGAAAGGAATTATCGGAAATCATCGACTTTATGTTGATGATATACACTACCCTGCACTGGGGAGTGGCCAAACAGCCCGAAACCGGTCTGCGTTTTCCGATATGCAGAAATAACTTCAGTGAAGAATTCTGCACTGACACCTGTCGGATATAATTCAACGCCCTTCGTGGTATTAGTCAGGGGAAAAGTTGTTTCCTGATAGGTGTCAGTCCATTAACCTACAATGTAGGGAATTGATACTGGCGTGAATGAACGAATTGTTTTTTTAGATGATTTGATTCAGAAATTGAAATATGAATTATTCTCAGTAGGTATATCACTGATTACATACTAAGTCATACAAAATATATTTGAACAATTTTTAAGGAAAGTGTTTTGGAAAATTCAGCGGTTTTAACACCGCTGAATCTAATATATAAAAATGGATGTTTGTTGGTTGGTTGGTTGGTTGGTAAGTGATAAACTTCTACATCGCTCAACCGATCATGATGAAACTTGACATGTATAAGTAATTTTCCATAGAGAAGGCTTTTAGGCTATCAATTTTTCTGTAACTCGCCACTAGATG